GGTGCCGCCGGTGCCCGTCCTGTCGGCGGAGGAGCTTCTGGGAGGCGATTCCTGCGAGAAGCCGAGCCCGAGCAGTAACGTCGTGGTGGGAGAGCCGCCCGCCGATGCTGGTGCACTGCAGGTCTGTAAAACGTCAGCTTTTTCTGCTTTTAAGACTTTCTGAAACGTCGTCCTTGTTCCCCGGGTATTCTCTGCGTGGCATCAGTGGGGACTCGTCGTTTGTGTCTCCACATAACGGCGGAAGTTTTTCATTGTTTCCGCGTAACAGATTCAACTGGCAGGCTTTGATTGTAGCTCTCCTTTCGTCTGGTGGCAGCGTTTCTCAGTGTTTTTCCATGTGTCCCCATGAGTCGTGTTTTTGTGAGTTGCACAGTCCTGTGTCCGTGATGGCGTGAATGAAGGAACGGGCAATGCCCCGGTCATGGAGAGCAGGAAGCACTTGGTTCTTCCTTGGTCACAGGTTCAGCTTCAGTCGCGAGGTTTTGTGTTTAGTACTTGAGCTCTATCATTTAGAATGTGATCATAGTATTGAAAGCAGATCGGTGTTCTGTGGAAGGAGAACGGCTGATTCTGCATGATGGAGTCCAGGAGAAAAGAAAAGCTCTGACAGCGGGTGTTGGAGCTTTCATCCTTCTTCGCTTCTTTGGTGACAAAAGGTGTACCTGGAACTGGTGTAGAGATTTACACAAAGTCGTTCGTTAAACTTTGTTTTCTCCCTATTTGATTTCGGAGGGAAACGAATGGGAGAAGTTCCGTCTTCCATGCTAGGTTAAAATCGAGATTGTTTCCCATTTCTGTGGGGATTGCAGTAGTGGGATTAGATGGCTTCTCTTTATTCGTCCTGACTGACAGTTTTCTCTACCTCTTCATGAACTTTATTTCGTACACTTGCGTGAGTTTTGAATTTCTGTTTCAGAGAATTTGATTTTCACAAAAATGTTGGGGGTTTCAGGAGAGGTCGGGTGTATCGAGAGCAGGAAATGTCTGAAATTCTGTTGGCTGGGCTGGACATCTGAAATACGGAGGGATCACATATGAGGGAGATTGTCCAGACGGCTATTTAGGTACTTGAATGAGTGCCATTTGCATATTGATTAGTGGTCAGCACAGTTTCAAGATCAAAATTGTGCTTTTGTTCTACGATTCTATAATTATTTTCGTCAAAACATATCATACCAAGGTCATTAAGAAATACTTAGATGAATAATTTGCTAACGATATACAATGTTAACACATTGATTTCAGAATAAATGGAAAGCTATAATGACTTTATTATATGCAAATCTGTATAAGCTGAGGAAACAGTAGTTTTATCTTAGAAAGGGATACCGTGTATTTGAAGTCCTCAAACTTTTCTTTCACTGTTGTAACCACGTCTTGTCCATGTAATATAATGCTGTAACAATTAGGTCCCTGGCTTAAAGAAGCATGCAATTGCTCTCGTCTGGCTTGAGTTAATGAACCTGATAGCTCTGTTTTAAAGGGATATGGAATCCTCTCGGTTTGTCTCTGAGAGCCTGTTGCTGAAGATGCTTATGAAAAAAAAGTATAATACTAACAGTAGGCTACAAAGAAAAATACGGAAAATGTGTTTGAATTTACATAAAATAACATTAGTAAGTGATTAGTGTCCCGTGCGGTTCAAGAACCGCGCTCACGGAATATCTCTGCCTTCCTCCCGATAGTGATGCCCTGGAGGGTCAAAGGCAAGATGGGCTGGAGAAAAGCGGAGGCAGGAGATGGGCGCGGGACGAAAATCGGCGTGTGGGTGGCGAGTGGTCCCTGTTTGTAGGCAGGCAGGGCGGGCAGCGCTCGGTGGCTGCAGTGCCGGGAGGAGGCTGCGGGCGCCGCTGTTGACCGAGAGGAGCGAGAGGAGGATCGGAGCGCTGCCGGCAGCCCCGCCCGCTGCGGCCAGGCTGGATCGCAGCTCGATCGCTGGATTGGTGGGTGGGCAGCCCGGGCGGCGGTGTGCGATCGTCCTGCCGGTGCGGATCCGTGCGGCGGAGAGGCGGCGGAGGCTGGGGCAGGGCCCGGGAGCGGAGAGGCCGGTGGGAAAGGTCAGCAAGCGCTGGGAGCTGAGCAGCAGCGGCAGCGGGGAGCTAAGTTGGCGGAGATGAGCTGGACGGGGAGGCGCTGGGGCCGGCGGCAGCGAGCTGTGCTCTGGGCCGTCCTGCTGGCGGCGTGGGAGGCGGCGTGGGGGCAGCTGTGCTCCTCGGTGCCCGAGGAG